TGGAACTGTGGTATGACACACCCCATGCGCCTGTCCGCGTAAGTGTTTTTCTGACTGAATATTTAGTTCAGAAAGTTATTTCTAGAGTGTAGCAGTAAATATTTCTACTCGCAAGTGATTTTAAAGTACTTGACATTAAATTCTTAAAAATTTCTAACTGCATTATGGTAAAAAGAATGACTCCATATGAATTGGAGATGCAACACCTGTGAGATTTATTAGAAATATTTGAAAGTGATGAAGATTGCATTTCGGAAACTAAAGATGAAACTAATATTTTCTAAAAACTGTTTTGGTTTCGAAAAAGATAAAACATTAATTCCTGATGTTCCTAAAAACGGAAAAACTGTTCTTATGCTTTCACATTATATAACGATCATACTATAGATGATACTATTGGAGAAAATAAAACGCCAGGAATTATATGTTTTTATATGACTAAAGGAGCAGTGGATATGAGGGATGAAATGTCAGCCAATTATTCAATTGCCAGAATAACAAGGAGGTGGGCAATGGTAATTTTCTTTCCTGCACTGAATGTTTCTGTAATAAATACTTGAATTATATTACATTCAACTGCTAATCCACCAACCAGAAACAGAAGTCCGTTTTTGAAGGATTTTGCATTACAATTAATGAAAAAAAGTATTGAACAAAGATCAGAGATTAATTCTTTACCAAGAAACTGAAAACAAAAGAAGAAGTTTCGACGAAGAATTAAAACGAATACATGAAATTCGAAACAACTAAGTATGGAAGATGTGATAAATTTTTTGCCCTCGCGCCAAGGACAGAAGAACGTGAATGCAATGTTTAAAATGTGAAAACATTTTGTGCCAAGAACACATGAATGTATTTCGTTCAAAGTGTGAAGAAATAAAATAAGCATTGTGTATTAGAGATGCAATGAAACTTAGAGGCATGATGTTTATTTTTTTATTATTTTCATTTATCTTAATTTTAACTCTAGGATTATTTTGGAAATTAATTTTTTGAAACCCAATAATTATTCACGTATGTATAATACACGAGAACAAGAAAAACAGCTTTAAAACTAAATAAAAATATTTTTATCGTATTTTAATTATTGGGGTATGTGATAACCCACGCGCCCACTCTAGTAACTTTTCTTGGTGCGACTTCCGCCGGGTTATGAGCAATATATTCCATAATCTAAGCAACATTACACTTTTTATAGTCGGACAAATTATAAAAATGTTATAAAAGCAATAATGAAACCCAATTTTGGTCTATGAATTCATGCAATTACACATCCCTATAGTTCTAATTTAAGAAATGAGACAAAAAAGTATTTTTAGACCATGGTAATTTTGATCATTGCCCATTTTAAGAAACATCTAAAAGTCTAAATTTGCATGTGGTTCCTTAGCAAAGGAAACACCAAGAGTTTACCTCATGCTACTAAAAATGTGTTCTTTTTTTTTTAGGGTGTGTGTGTGGAATTTATAATATGCAGAGTTGACATATCACATTCAGTTTTAACCATCAAATTTGGCTCTTTTAAAAATATTTTAAATGTTGTGCTTTACTAACATGAAAGTAACTAAGAAAAACATGCAATTTATCCCTCCTGCCATCAAAGCTCTGACCAAATTCGTTAAAGTTACGTGGACAGAAATGGCGGAATGTTTCTCAGCTCAGTATTTAGGATTACCATAAATGGCACAGCTTTAGTATTAGTCATTTTTGGCGAGAAATTTGTTTGGCGACATTTTGGAGCGATAAATGAAAAATTATGATAACCTTGGTAACCCTAAATACTGATCTTCAAATATGCCGCCATTTCTGTCCATGTAACTTTAACGAATTTGATAGGTATCAGAGCTTTGATGGCAGGAGGGATAAATTGTGTGTTTTTCTTAAAGTTACTTTTGTGTTAGGAAAGCACAACATTTAAAATATTTTTTAAAAAGCCAAATTTTTGATAGTTAAAACTAGTGCTTTTAATATTACATCACATGAGTCGACATTTTTTCATATGTCAACTCTGCATATTATTATAAACGCCACCCCACCCACCCCCACCCAAGGAAAAAAAAAAAAAAACATTTTCAGTAGCATGAGGTAAAATCTTGGTGTTTCCTTTGCTAAGGAGATCAAAATTACCATGGTCTAAAAATACTTGTATACCTCATATTAGAACTATATGGATGTGTAATTGCATGAATTCATAGGTTCAAATCAGGTTTCATTATTGCTTTTATAACATTTTCATACTTTGTCTGACTATAAAAAATATAATGTTGCTTAGATTATGGAATATATTGCTTATAATTTAGAGTTCTCAAATTTTGTAAATCTTACAACCTAACAGCTGTATATGAATAACCTTCACTGAGTATTATTACTTTCATTAATAGTATGTTGACATAACAGTTAACTTTTTATTTTAAATTTTATGCAAATTTTCTACATTACTTAAACATTTTATCTAACAGAAATCTTAATTTTTTGTAATAAAAACTCTATAATAAAAGTAAAAGTACAATTTATATATAAAAATTTGACTACATGGCAAGCACTTAGATACTGATTTCAATGTCTTTAAATGTTATTATCATAAAGTTTAGATATATTCTTATTAAGTTAAGATATACTTTTATTCTATTATAAAGTTTAGATGTACAGAACAGAAGGCACACTTTGTACTTACGACTCGGTCAACAACTTGTGGCAAGATAACTTAAGATAACAATTAAGTTCAAATGTAAAATTTAAATTCAAATAAATTTGTAGCCCAAAGGCTGCACAAATCAATTTAATGCAAAGTTGGTTAAAAACTTAACTGGCATGGAATTCAACTATCAGCAATTATAATGCAAGGATGAAGACTACAAATTTTTTCTTATCTAGCAAAATATTAATGTGGCCTCAAAAGGCAAAACACGGTTTGTTTTACAAAATAAAAACTTCATTTGGATTCTGGTGAGAAAACGGGTGGAGGAAATTGACAGTAAAGATCCCAAGAATAAAATAACTCTGGTTACAAAATAAAGGAACGTTACAATATACTTTGTTCCCTGATTAATTATTCAGTACATGAAATAGTGTAATGCAATTTTGTTTGCATCACATACAAATTATTTAGTTTATTTAGATGCTTTCCAAAACTGACAGGATTTTGAAACATATTGACCATATTTTTTGACCTATAGATGCAACACTTCTTCTCTTCAGAAGTAAGATTTAGAATTAAGAAATAAGAAAATAAGAGAGAATTATGAATAGAAAATAAATACATATGCTGGCTAGCAGAAGAAGGATGCCTTCATAAAGTACTTTTTAAGAGAAACTGGCTCAGATTCACATTACATCTACGGAAACTACTAAAACTCCCATATAGCCAGCCTGAACTACCACTGTTCAGTGGCTATCACTCCACCACTAGTGGATTCCAATGACTGTTCGAATTTTTCACAGAAATCATCATTTACGATGATTGTTGTATTATTACCATTGGTACAAAATTTACTCATTATGATAATTTAATTTTAGCTTTTAAATTATAATCATAAATTACTTGTAATAAATTGAGGGATTAAAAAATACACATTTCTTAATATTTTTACCATTCACAATATTTAATCATAAAAAATATTTCTAACACTGGTACAAAACTTGCCCATTATAACTGAATTTGATTTCCTTCACTTTGAAATAATTTTTTATTTTCTTTTAATAACAGAATCTAAGAAACTAAAGTAACATATACTAGTTTGAAATGCATTTATTAACCTTTTGTAAATTAAAATTAAAAATTAAAAATATAGCTAAATACTAATATAAATATTAACTAATTACTTAAAAATTAATAATATAATACATTAATATTATTAATATTATAAACTACCAGTTACCATATTGTAAAGATCAACCACAGTAGTGTTTCAAGAATTTATCATAGCAGTACTAGAAATATTGAAAATTAGAGAAGGACTGTTTATTCTGATTAAGAGCTTATTTTTTAGGATTGTTATTTAGTCTAGATCGGGTTTTGTTGACAATCCGCCATTTTTTTCCGATCTTCAAAACCGGGTCTACCTTGGCGACCGAAGTTTGTCGCCAAATAAAAAAATCGCCAAAAGGACCAATACTAAAGCTGTTCCAGCTGTGCCATTTAAAAAAAAAAAATTCTTGTTGATGTTTCAACAGATAACTGCCCCTATATTTTATCTATCACATAAACAAACATTGATATGATAGGCTAAATGCTTTTTAATTAGCTATTTTTCATATTTGGATATTCAGAAACTGTTCATTCAACCAGATAATCTGGAAAATCAGCTAAATTATGTCTTTTAGTGCATGTAATTGCCATGTCTGCAAACAAACATCCTCTCTAAATGTAATTAACATACTTTTGTTAACTGAAGATTTCTACTGGCTTCCGATAACTATCTTAACTAGATGAAAGTAATTTCATCAGTCTAGTACTAAAAATTAAAACAAAAACTAAGTCCTTAATTAAAAGAATATAGAAAAATACAATGTAGTAATAAGAAGAATAGAAGAAAAAATGAACAAATTAAACGGAACACTACATTGCTACATGCTGAAAATGCATGCATAAAATTATTATTCAATACTATAACCAACTTTTTGGGGAAAGTGCAGAATCGCGCATTGCTTGGCACGTTTTTAAGAATTCCACACTTGGTATCCATGTACACATCGACCTATTTTCACTTAAAAAAAATATCCCAGAATTACACAAAAATGGCATGGCGTACTCCCTTGACTTTATCCATGTACACATCGACATATTTTCACTTAAAAAGTCAAAGAAAATTGACAAAATTCCAATTCTTACTCTTGTGAAAAGCACCATATAAATGGGCGATTCTGCACTTTAGCCAACTTTTTTTGCAGCATTCAAATGTTAGTAAGACTTTCTGGAAAACAAAAGCAATGCTCATTTTTCCAAGAATTACTTTTCATTGTTTGTGAAGTACTAATTGCATATTTTATAAACACATAAATAAACAAGAAAATAATTTATTTAAATTTTCTTTTATCAAATGGAAAATATAAGTAATTATTGACTACGCATTTGATAATAAGCACTGTAAGCTCTAGTTTTATATTCATTAGCAGTTTGAATAACATTATCAGAATTGCAGATACCTCTTCCAACAATAATTACATCTGCACCATCTTTCACTGCTTCTTCAGGAGATTTATATTGTTGTCCTAATGTGTCGTCACTATGTTTTATGTTTACACCTGGACACATATAAATAAAGGTATCGTTTTCAGGAAATTTATGTTGGCTCACAAACCCAATCACAAAGTCTGGATGATTTTCAGCCATTTCAATAATGCATTTTTTGTAAGCATTATTTGTTAAAGCACCTTTTGAGCTCATTTCTGCTATAAGTACACAAGCTCGATCCTTGTAATCTTCTGCAGCATTTTTCAAAGCAGTTATAATTCCACTTCCAGGAAGCCCATGAACTGTGACTATATCAGCCCACTGCTTTATTTTATACAGACCACTTTCATACTGATGCACAACAGTATTACCTAATCAGCAAATTTCCGATCTTCAAATAAAAGGAAATCATGCTTTTTAGCTAATTTAGTCAGTTCTTCTGTTACACTTTCATTAAAGTCCCTCAAAATATCAATGTGAGTTTTAATCATGCAAACATAAGGCCCCAGGTCACCCACTAACTTCAGTAACTCCTCCGCATGAATAGTATCCACAGCTACACAAAGATTACTCTTTTTCTTAAGTATTATTTCAAAAAGCTTCTTGGCTACAGGTTGATTAATTTTTTCAGCTTTTTCGGCGAAAGTTAAACATTTTGATTGTTGGGATAATTTTTTTACAGGTATATATGTATTTGTTTCTAAATACAGTTTAACATTGTCAATAATAGTCCTTTTTACTTTATTGACAGCGCAATAACTATCAAATATATCATTAATGTCAAATAACGAATGCAAACATATACCTTCTTTTTTTAAGTTTTCCAAACCCCCTTGCATCCTGTTTAGAACTACAATACAATCTGTCACTATTAACCCTTCTTTCCTTAAAGTTTCAGCAGTTTCTATCACACTGGAACCACTAGATACGATGTCTTCAATTATTAAACAATTACCTCCTTCCTTCAGGACGCCTTCAACCAATTTCTTAGTACCGTAACTTTTAGCTTCTTTGCGTCGTAGCACCATAGGAATGTTGTGTAAAACAGACACAACAGAAGCAATTGGTAATGCCGTATACGGCACACCGCATAAAACATCTACATTTATCTTTCGCTCAATTTGTTTCCGATGGACAGCTTCAGCAATGTCATGAACAAGATCCGGGTAATGGATGATTTGTCTTAAATCAATATAAATAGGTGAGATGACACCACTCTTCAGAGTAAATTCATTTAGTTTACAAACACCAATGTTTATAAGACGTAAAAGTAATTCACTTTCTTTAGCCATATCTGTTAATAGAGTAAAGAAATTTCTTTATCCAAAACTTTTCATCAATTATCATGAACTCTAATTCCCATTAATGTGTTTGTAAAAAGGGTAACATTGATGCCATTCACAATTTTGAAATGTTGGAGAGGTGGTCTTAAATTTATGTTACATAAATAAACAAACAATTATGTAGAAATTGTAAAATTAAAAATTTAATTAATTAGAAACAAAATTTTTAAAGGTTCTTTATTTAGTTATAAGATTTTAATGTAACGCTTATAATTCCTATAAAGTATTTAAATGATATTCTAAGGGAAAAAAATAACTGTCACCTTACCTAATTATTATTTATTTAATGAAACTCATTGAGCTAAAAGACTTGAGCATAAAGTGAAATTTTTCATTTATTGTTTTCGAAATATTGTATTCTACGTGAAAACGATGGCATTATAGAAAAGCTTTAGGACGAATAAACCACACATTTCTTTTTTCTCTATCTTCGTAGAAACTGGCTTCCTTTTAGTTACGGCTTAATTTTTTTATTTCAAGTATAGCACATATGTTGTATCTTGAATTTATTCTCGATTTTATAGATATTGTGTGAAAATATTACTGGGCTGCACTAAAATGAAGTTTATTTAGTTTCCCTGAAAAGTTGTGATGGATAGTTTTATATAGGTTTGTTAAAATATTTCAGTTCAAATTAAAAGCGTTTTGGGAAACTTTTTAATTTGAACTAGTGGAAGTGGGCGGCAACATGTTAGAATCAAGTGCAGTTTCCTCTAAATATGTATTGGAATTAGGTTCGGACACAGTCCGATTTGAACCTGTCAGCAAACTTACGAATGTTTTCTTTGATGAAGCTAATTGCCAAGTTTTCGCTGTTCGATGTGGGGGAACAACTGGTGTTGTTGTAAAAGGACCATCTGACAAAACTTCCATTAATTTTCGCATGCTGGATAAAGGAGACGTGATGTCAATAAAATTTTCTCCAGATAAGAAAATACTTTCTGTTCAGCGGGGTTATAAATCGATTGAGTTTATAAATTTCAACGAAAATTTAGAACCCGAAAATTTAGAATATTCACAAAGCTGCAAAGGTAAGACTACATCAATCTTAGGTTTCTCTTGGACATATATCAACGAAATTGTTTTTGTTACTGATCATGGAATCGAACATTATCAAGTTATTCCTGAGAAGCATAGTCTAAAATCATTAAAAATATACAATGTCTCTGTCAACTGGTACGTGTACCACCCAGAAAATTCATTGCTGCTTTTGTCTTCAGGAAGCCTTTCAAATGTCATGCATCCTTTTCAGTTTCGTCCAGGTGCATCCTATAAGCTGTCTAAATTTGAAATTGATCTTCCTGCAGCACCAAAATCACAGAAAGTGTGTTTGCTTGAAAGAGATGTCAGCATAGCTACTGTTTACAATAAGACTTGCATCTTTGTCCTTCGACATCAGCCACGTTCACTTGGTTCTCCTGGAGCAGAAATTGTGATTTACAGTGTAATCAAAGATGGTCCTCCACGCAAGACAGATATTCTTAAACTGGACAAAAGTGGTCGTTTTGCAATAAATGTAATTGATAATGTTATTGTGGTCCATCATCAAGCTTCCAAGGAATCTATGCTGTATGACATACAAATGCCATGTGAGTCTGATGGATATGTATCATACCATTCACCAATTATTTCAAAGTGCCCTATCAAACCATTTATGTTAAAAGTTCCGATTATGCCTAGTCATAATATTGTTACAGATCCTGAAGTTTCTTGTGAATTATACTCCCCTAATTGGGTTGTTTTCCAGCCAAACATAATAATTGATCCCAAGCTGGGATGCTTATGGCATGTTCAAATGAACTGTGAGCCTTTAATTGATATTATCCATGATAAAGGATTATTAATTGATTTTTTGCTGTTACGACAGAATTCGAAATCAATCATTTTAAAAGTTTGTCATGATGGTTTACTTCCTGATGAGCAGCTTTCATTAGTAAATATATCTAAAGTTTTTGATAAATTAAATGCTATATATAAACAGAATGCTGATAAATTGGAAGGTAGTAAAACTAATACTCAGAATGTTTCAGTTTTAAAATCAGTGGCTATTGTGGATCAGTCTGATATGTACACTCATGTATTTTCTGTATTTGAGAACGATAACATAAATTATAAATTTGTAATTTCTGTTTTACTAGAATACATCCGATCATTGATTCAACATCAGCAGTTTGTCCAACATTATCTCTGCAAGTTATTAATTAATGTTTTAGTACAAAATAAGCAATTTTATCAGCTCCATCAGTTCCTCCAGTATCACATTCTAAGTGATTCTAAACAGTTAGTTTGTTTGATGTTGGCCCTTCAAGGAATTTATCCTCCAGCTTATCAGCTCGCATTAGATATGCTGAAAAGACTGCAGAATTCCAATGAAGAAATAGTGGAAGTTTTACTTTCACAAAAGAAAATTCTTCAAGCTTTATCCTTTATAAGAAGTTGTGGAGCCATTGATAGTCTTTCTGCACCAAAATATCTTGCTGCTGCTAAACTCACTGGAGATACAAATATTTTTTATTCTGTATACAAATTCTTTGAGCAGAGAAATATTAGATTAAGAGGTGCCCCAGATTTTGAGCCAGGGGAACATTGTGAGAGCTATGTAAAATATTTTAATAGTGTGTTTGGAACTGCATCAGCACTGGAAACTGTTCTGAATTAAAGGTGTTATGCATAATGATGAAATACAAATGAAATGATTCAGTACTTCCATATAAATGAAACCACCTTGTAAGATTACCAAAATTTTCAAAATGTGCAAAACATTGGTAACCATACACATAATCATTCTTAAATTTTAACAAGCAATGTCACATTTTTTGATTATGTTGTGTTTGCTGTAATCCAAGTTAACAATTGTTAAATCATGATATTTTTTATTTTAATTTAATTTCTAAATGCACATGCATGGGATTTGCCTGCAGTAGAAAAAATTGCATGAATATAAAATCATTAAACATAAAAATTGTTTAAAACTATTCTTAAAGTGATAGCCGCAAAATTTCCAACAGAGTATTAAAAAAGATTACTGATTTTCAGATATATACCTAATTAAAATGTAAAATCAAGACAGAAGAAAAGCATGCCAAAGTAAATCATAAAATTAGGCAATCCAAAAACGTGTTTGCCGTAGATTTTAGTCAAGACTTCTATCGATTTCGAGTGCAAACAGGTACAAGTCCCTCTTCATCAGATTCGGAGAAATCTGCTATTAGCAGATTAAATCTCTGCTAAACACAGTGCTGTTATTTTTGTCTAATTTTTGTAGATAATATGGTACTTACATATTAGCACCAACTCCTTGGTGTGGTTTGGTTTTTAGCAGAAGGTGATTTGGTAAATTTTTGGATTAGCAATTTACAGTGGATCGCTCATATGTGCATAGTTGACAAAGTTTGGCAACTTCTATTTAAAGGTGGCTGTAATAATACATAAATACTAGTAATATAATATATAATTCTTTGCAATTGTAAGTTATGGTTCATTTTCTTCTATCATTTCTTTTGTCATTCAAACTTTGGTAGTTAATTGCAAACGTATTAATTTGTATTGAAATTAGAAATGTGTACATAATATTCTGAATTTGATTATTAATGCCTGTAATAAATACATATTCAAAAAAGCCCAATGCCTTCCCTTTCTGATTATCGCTCAGGATTTTAGTAAGAGTATGCTGGGAAGGGGAAAGCAGCCTTTAGAATAAAACTTTTCATTTGAGCGAAGAATAGTGCAACCATTCTGGAAAAAAAATGGACTAGTTTTAATGGTTTTAAATTTATTTTTAATTGATATGCATACTTTTGAAAAGAATAAGTCAAATGAGACTGAATAGCATGTACTGCAGAAAAGTTACAATTCCAGGTATGATATTATGTTAATATAAGTTGGCGACCTACCAATATTTTGCATAAAAATATAGCTTTTTCCCTCTCCAATGTAGCTTATAAACATCAAATTTAGCCTTAAATTTTTTTAATCCTCTATTAGATTCAGACTAGATCATCAGATTCATTATTTTTTTTTTAATTTTCAGTTACAGATATCCATATTTATAGTTTTATTCAAGTAAGACTTAAGGCACATCACCAATGCAGCAATTGATTATTATATTTATCTTTTTTGATATCCAGTTAGCTTTCAGCATATCTAAAAGTACCGTTGTCATGGTAGTAAGTGGCAAAAGTGTAATTTATTGCTTGGATGATTAGCACATAGTTTGAAACCAGTCAAAAATCATTGTGCAAATAAAGCAATTTAAATTGTTAAAAATAATGTACTGTATTATAATTTCCATTTCAAATTGTATTTTAATAAAACTATTCTTTGTTACAATGTGAGCCACAATTTACCCATGTCTGATACACACTATTTATTATCTGTGTATCTAAATTGTTTACAGATTTGATTGATGTAATTAATAAATTATGCTTTATCACCCATGATTATCATATTCTTTATAAACACATCATTTGTTAAATTATTTTAAATATGTTTGGTTTATGTTTTTTTTTTTTTTTTTTTTTTTTTTTTTATATATATATATATATATATATTTTCTGACGGCTTTTTTTTCATTTGGTCATTAAGTCATGAAATCCATCAGATTAAAAATTAACTTTCTAGCTGTAATGTTTCTTAATCAACTTTGATTTTGATCACATGCTGTCATCTGTTTTAATAAGCTTGGATTGACTTAATTTAAGGTTAATTGTAATATATAGAGAGAGAGTGAGAGAAAGCTAAATGGACATATATATGTACACAGATGCACACTGCTCAAAACAACTAGGAGATATTAGGATTTTGGATATAAACTGCAGATGAAGAAATATTTTGGTGAATGATACATAATGTATATGTGTTGTAAGATATGAGAAGAGAAGAGAAAAAGAAACATTGAAGAAAGAATAATTAAATTTTATTGATGATATTTGTCGGTAAACAAAAATTATGCAATTTGTGCTCTAAGGTATTTTTTCACTCCTTGAAGCATGCCTTCGTGTGTTAACAGTAGCACATCTGGCATGTTCGAGAGGTCCAGGTTCAAGTCCCAGCAAGGGTGTTGCACATTTTTCATGTCCCTTGCTTCAAAAAATCCTAATGACTCTACAGTAGCACCTGAATTAAAAGGTCATGGAGAGTAAGTCATCATTACCAGTATTTGGGGTCCCTTAATCTCTACTTACCCTTTAAGTGGTAATATAAAAGGTGTTTTTCCCCTCCTTGATGCATGCCTTCATGATGTAGCAGTAGCACACTTGATGCCTATTCGAGAGGTCCCGGCGAAGGAATTGCTCATTTTTCATATCTCCTGCTTCAAGATAACCTAATGACTCTACAGTGCGTATTATATAAAAAAAAAAAAAAAAAATGTGACTTTTCAGATACAAATGAGTTGTGATAAAGGGTATGGTTTTCCCTGAATGAAAACAATGTAGCTCACCTCTGAAGCTTGGAATTAAAGAAGTTATCAAATAGGGACCGAGGTATTCTCTCCCACTTTTGTAGGAAATAGCTTTCAAACTTTTTAATTTGTTTCTGAGACTGAAAAGTGATTAGCAACTGTTCTATTGTCAGGTGTTACATCAAAGTGGGACTTGTCTGTGAAAAGCATGTTGCTCCACTCATCTCATTCCCATCTGAAATGCTCGTGTGCAAGCTTTCTGCGAGTAGCATGATGATCCTCTATCAACAAAACAGAAACCAAAGTCTGCAAGAATACAAACGCACATGGTTTAGTCAGTTTCAAACAGTTTGAATTAATACTCTGGTACCAGTAGTAGCCCTCTGAAGGTGCTGTTGTAAGAAAGTGGCATTCATAGTGGGGGTTTCTATGGCTGATAGTATTAAATACTAATAATCCATTTTCTGTTGTTGTAGGCAGACAACCTTGTCTTATCTTTAGCAAACATTTCCACTTTCCAAAAACTGATTCCATAGTCTGGAAATGATACTTTGAAAAACTCCTCATACTTTCGCTGCAGCGGATTGTGTTTAACCCTCCTCTAAACGATTGATGGCCTTCCTGGCTACTAATTCAGCTAAGTCATCTTGCTGAGACATCGTATTCACTGTTACAAAAAATTCAATGCATGTCAATTGTTTTTAATCTCCTGCAGAAGTAGTGCTGCAGGTCACAAAATTCGGATTCATAGCAAATGACACCAATAACTCAAGAAAAATCTAAGTTATTATTTTGCACTTCAGTTTAAAAATATGTAAAATTATCTTCAACGTCTGTGACACTGATCATAAATATTGCTTGATCACTCAAAATCACACTCCGTAATCCTAATCGTACAAAAAAGTCCCGTAAACATTCTATTGTTTTAAAAGTCGAGCTTGATTTCAATGGATAGGCTTCTAGCCATTTTGAGTGAGCATCGACGATTATCAAAAACATATGCTCAAAAATATGTCCTACATAATCGATGTGAATACATTCCATTGGAGCGCTCGGGTGCTCCCAATGATCAACTTTTACCATAGGAGGATCTATTTTATGTTTTGCACATTCAGAACAGTTTTTGGAAGTATTTTCAACATCGTTATCTATACCATTCCAAAATACATAAGATCTAGCAATTGCTTTCATCTTTACAGTCCCTAAGTGTCCGTGGTGCAACTCTTTCAAACCATTATCACGGTATCGTTTTGGAATACAAACGCGTTAACCATACATTATACAGCCATCTTGGAGACTGTACTCCCTCTCCCTTCCTTTTAATTCACCGCCGCTTTGAAGTATTCGTAGCAGAGGACTGAGTTTTGCATCAATTTAAGTTTCTTTAGCCAAATCTATGGCCGTGATTGGAAGAGTTTCAATCTGCTGTAATTGACAAATAGTTACATCATCATGAACAGACAGTTGCTCTGAATTCGTCGGCAATCGTGATAGAAAGCCAGCATTACCATGCTCGTTTGTTTTTACGGTAAATAATATCGAATTGGAATGACTATAAAGCCAAAATGTAATGTAGGAATCTTGTTGCTGCCAAAACTGCTTCTTGTTTTTTGGCAGCAACAAGACTCCTACATTCTGTTTTGGCTTGTTTCTTATTGCTGCCTTCCTTTGAGCCAAAAATTGCAACAAGAGGTTTATGATCTGTAATTAAAGTAAATTTTCTGCCTTTTAAGTACAGAAAATATTTTTTATTCCCCAAATGATTGACAAAGCTTCTTTATCGGTTTGAGAATATTTTTTCTCCTTTTCAGTCAGTGTTCTTGAAGCATATGCAATTGGCCTTTCTGTTCCATTAGAAAGTTTATGAGAAAATATCGCTACTGGTGATGCATCAGTTGCCAATGTTAAGGGGAATTTTGGATCATAATGAGTCAAAACTTTTTGTGAACACGATTCTTTTTTAATGTACAGAAAAGCCTTCTGACAATTCTTCGTCCAAACTCATTTTGTGTTTTTCTTAGTTAATTGATATAAGGGATTTGCGATTGTCGCTAATTTAGGATAAAATTTTCCATAAAAATTAACCAATCCCAAAAAGCTTGAATTCCCTGGACATTTCTGGGTCTTGGGACTTTTTCGATCACTGATATTTTTTCATCAGTTTTATGTAAACCATTAGTATCTATTTTATGACCTAAAAATTTTATCCCATCCTCGTTGCCAATTGTCGTATATTCTTTAGTGGGTAATTATTTCACAAGATACACTCTTTTAAACTACATGCTACTTTTATTATATATACAAAATATATCATCACTACGCATACACACTTATATCTACAGCTACTTTTTCATAACTACAGCTACTCGCATTCCAGTCCTTTTTCTTATTACTGCGCGCGCTTCGATACTTGGCGCGGTGCCAGCTTTTAGTCCAATTATGATATACACATCCATAATTCTCAATATACCACAATATTGAACACTATAACGTTAAAAAAAGTGCAAAATTGCATCTAAAACTAAGTAATGTAACACATAAACAGCATGTGCGGGAACAATTACGTTTGTAAAATATAAGATATAATTTAAAAATCAGGGTATGCTAAAATTTATGAAAGGTATGGAAAAAATAATATGTGGAAGTTAAAAAAAATTACAAATTAGAAACGTTAAGTATTAAAAACATATGACAGTAAATGAATATGTTATTATGAACAGAAAACCTGAAAAATAAGGTAAAGTTTCATGAGAAACTAGAAAGGATAAAAGTATCAGAATAAAGCTGAGTAATAAAAACAAATTATCTTGTAGTTTCATCTTCATGACATGATGAACTATCATTAAAGGAAAGTCTTTTTTTATATTTGTTTTTCTTACATTGTTTTCAGAGTCGCGCATTGAATAATTTTAACACCACACTTAAAAATATATTTCTATAAAACAAATAATTCATTTTTTCATCAATAGAGGGCAGCATCGCCATATCATCAAAACACGAAGTGCATCAAAATTAAGAGGCAGAAAATATTTCCCGTTGCCAATTTTGAAAAACTAACTTTAAATGAAAAGCAGGAAGTCTACAACTCAATCAGTAGTCCAAAAACAACTCAACTCGTGACTACGCCCCTCTGGTGGGATGTCATCGGTGGCGTTGCACGATGCACCTGTGACGTCATTGCCACGCCCTTAGCTCCTCATGGCGCAGAACCCCCATTTTTATGCTACTACTGTTATATAAGATTAGCTGCTTTCTGTGTATTTTTCATGTTATATAACTGATATCCATACGTCTTGAACAAATATACAGCAAATACAAGACAAATTATTAAAAAATTACAATTTGAAACATTAATACTAATTTTCTATTACTATACATAATACTGTTAATGAATGATGAATTTATATAATATGTATACTTAGAATCTAAATACGATGAGCTTTGAATCTGATGACTCTATAAATATATATTTATGTAGTTACAAATTTTATTAGATGTTATTATATGCATAGTTCTTTATAATCTTCACAATGTCTAATAAAATGCTACATATTAATTACTATATTTTGAGGTGATTATACTTAAATTTGTAGATATATTGACTTCTAAGAGTTGTTCCATCCCCTCCCTCCAAAATAAATAAATAAATAAAATGAAAATTAAAAACACTGTTTTAAATTGCTGTAGTTGAAAGATTAAGAGGTTACATTTGGAATTCATTTTCTGACAGGGTGTCAGCTGACAGTTTTAATTTATTCAGAAATCTAAAAAAAAAAATATCTCTAGAAAATCGCCAAATTATAATTGTTGCATTCAAAAAAGCTTTCAATGAGAAATATGTTTAAACTTTGATAATAAGCTCAGTCTAAAGTAAAGAATAAAATATCTCTTAGCCAAGTTTTCATTATACTTAACTGTTTTAATATTTCTAAACTAAAAAGTAACAGTGGAACAGTTTTTAAGCTAAAGGAAAAACTAAAAAAAAAAAAAAAAAAATACATAAATAAAATTCAAGTGTTTAATTAAAAAGTTAATAGTTTTAATAATGAAACAATTATATTTAATCTCAGTTATATTACCTTTAAAATAGCATGTGAGAAACTCCACAATGATATTTTTCATTTTCACATACACATACCAAAGCTAAACAAGTATTGTAAATAAATAATAAAATGCAATTTCAGATTTATCATCGAAACGTTATAGCTAATCACTTAATCAGAGAGTAGAAAGTTTGCTTTCAACCTAATAAATTCAACAAATAAAGTAATGATAAAATATACAAACAGACATATATTCGAGACATTAAAATTCAGATATGAATACTCCATTTATTATAATTAAAATTATAAATACACGGTTTGGTAATAAAAAAACCAAAAGTCCCTTTTGATTATGTGCGCTTTTATCAAAGTGGGTTTTCATCAGCGTGGGCCTATATCTATGTAAGCTTTTATCAGTGTGCGCTGTCGTCACTGTGGGTATTTGTTGCGTGGGCAATTATCATAGCGGTTTTTTTTTTTTTTTTTTTTTTTTTTTTTTAGCTTTTGTCGCGTACGCTTTCGTCCAGTGGGCTTCTGTCTGGGAACCCCATTTGATGTATTTTTAAAAAAGAAGATTAACTTGAATGCCCTAACTGTAGGGGCTATAACCCTTCTCAATATGGCATATAAACATTTTCTAATCCCTCTCTAATAATATGCAAGATCGGTACACTTTATTGATGAGGTGATTGAAAACTATCAGTGGGGATTTAGACCCCAAAGATTTACTAATGACCAAATTCACAACTTACAAAAATTCCCTAAAAAACTAAAGAATACACTATTAGAACTTAACATCTATTTATACATTTCAAGGTGACGTACGACAGTATACAGAGAAATAAGGTATTTGAAGCATTAGCGGAGTTTGGAATCCCTACTAAGCTTATTTAATTAAGCTACACTTGGTAAAGTTAGATGTAGGGTTAAAATTCAAAGTCGTTCAGAGACAGTAGTTTAGGCCAAAGGGGCACTTGGAATTGGTCTCTGCAAACATTGACCTATGCGAATGATATAGATATTATTGAAAAGTCAGAAAAAGCAGTAATTGAGACCTTTTCAGGTCTCGAATCTTCTGCCACAAATATAGGCTTCACAGTCAATGAGGATAAAAACCAAATTCATGGAAATTACACTCTCCAGGTAAACTGTTGTGTGCATTAACGGCTACTCCTTTGAAAAGGTCGGGGAATTTAAATATCTTGGCACTATAATTAATGGCAGAAGGTAAATGTAGAAATTGATAATAGAATTAAAATGGCTTATAAATGCTCCTTTGGGCTAAGAAGACAATTGAGATCTAATCTTATAAGTCACAAAACAAAATTACAAATATGTAAGACATTGTTTTATTTTATGAAGTTAAATGTGGAATTTAAATAAACACACAATGCTCACTAGACATGTTTGAGAGAAAAATCCTTAGAGTAATTTATGGTCCAATATAGAAAGAGGAATGTTAGAGAGCAAGCTGTAACTCTGAACTGTACAGGCTTTATAAGCACCCATGAATAGCACAAGTCATCTGTAGTAATAGATTTAGATGTGTGGGTCATGTTTGGAGAAGCTTTCGAAGGCAATCCCACTAAGATCTTGACATTGAAAAAAACCTGAATGATCCCAAGCTGAAGGAAGACCACCGACTAGATGGTTAGATGACATTGAAAAAAGATTTTGAAAATTAAAAATTGGATAGGAGTTGCTGCTGATAGAAATGCTAGGAGTGCATGGTTGAAGCAGCCAAGGCCTGTAAGGGGCTGTTGTGCTTGTGAAGAAGAAATCCACCCTATTTTTTTCAAATTCTCCCTTCCTTTCCCTCAAAAGTGTCATCTTGCTTTCTATTTTAGGCAGGCAGTGATGTAGTATATCAAAATTTCGTTAAGAAGGAGGGCACTAATAGATGGTCCCAAGAATATTTGTTGCCCAAGAATGCTATCAGGTTTTAATCCAATAAAATTTCACACAGTCTGAAATGCCTGTTAAAAAAGGAAAAATAAAGAAATCTTCAATAGCTAATCATACTTGATTTTTGGATTTCTTTGAATCTTACCACATTCACAAAAATTTATCTTTTTACACTAATAAAATTAATTCTATGCAGTCCTTCCTGATGCTTTCAGAATTTTAATATTTTAGTTTTTCATGTTT